CATTTGAAATACTAGTGGATGCCCACTGGTCTCTCCTAGACCATCTGGATTGGAAGTTTGAGGTATTGACAGTTGGTATCGAAGTATTGTTGATAGTACATAAAGTAGATGCTGAGGTTTGGGTGAACATTGCAAGGACAAGGGGTAGATAATAGTAGTAGAGGTAAAAAGCTACAAGTACTTAGCCATGGCCTAGACATAAGTTACCAAAAATCTAGATGATATATGTGTGGAACATGGACCACTCTAGTAGATTTATCACAAGAATAAAGGACTCCTATATAGTAGTATATGTTTGCTTTAAAGTCCTAAAGAACTTTTACAGCAATTTTTCTTTGGTGAGAATATTTGATAGCACTAAGTTAATTAAGGTAGTAATACTTTCATTAATGTAACAAAGTTGGGGGTGCTCATATAGTAGTTACTCTGATATTCAAATTGTAAGTTAATAAAATATGCCAGACCCTAACTTTAATATTAAAAAAAAAAATTTTTTTACTATCTTTTACTACTAATTTCTGACTTTTATAGGATTCATCTAAATCCTGATTCTTATTTTACAGCATATCCCTAATACTTTAGTATATAAGGGTGTAGCGACTTAGTGAAGTGGTTAAGTTGTTACACCCCAAGTGATAGGATAAGAGTTTGAATCTCACTGGCGACAAAATTTGAATTTACAGAATGTGTTACGGCAAACTGTATGTAATCTAATGGATTAGCAGATCTGTAAACTTGGTTGTATCAGAGTTATTGAGAAGCTGTGAAACTGTAGTATGATACATGAGTTACACAAACTAGGTAAAACGGCTGTGTAAATCTAGGTATTGGAACACACAGAAGCCTGCTTGGTAAGTCCTGAGTAGAGAGGTAGCACAGATTTTCAACGATATTGCATAAAAGGCTATCTAAGGGATCTGGACACCGATTTTAGTAATCCAGATAAGGACTGGTATTTGGCAAAACACTATACCAACCAGGCTGTTGGACAAGTAACCGGAGGAAAAGGACCCAACTATAGGGACCAGGAGCAGGCCACAGCCCCTTCGGGCTATCTGGATTGGGTGTTTAGGTTACTAAAGAAACTTAGATACTGGTGATAGTCTGTAAAGTGTATGCTGAGGTTTGGGTGAACTTTGCAATGGCAAGTAATAGATAATAGTAGCGTCTTCAGCTCACAAGTACTTGGCCTTGACCTAGACATAAGTTATTAAAAAATCTAGGTGATACATGTGTGGGACATGGACTGCTATAGTAGGTTTATCACGAGGATAAAGTAATCCTAAGGGGCCTTAGTGGCAGTTTCTTTTTGGGGAGAATATCCCGACGGTACTAAGTTAATTAGGGTAGTAATATTTTCATTAATATAACAAAGTTAGGGATGGCTCTGTAGCTGCCCTGGCATTTATAACCAAAGTTAATAAATGTGCCAGACCTCCAAGTAGTCATCTTAATATTAAAAAATAAAAATAAAAAAAAAACTTTAGTATTCTATTTACAAATCTCTTTAAATCTAAATGATTTAAAAGAACTATAATCTGTTTCTAATATGTAGTATTAGACTATATTCTTTTCTTCTAATAATGATAGATCTGATAGTCTGGTTAGTATATTAGTTCTTAGTCTTTGTTGCTCAGTTCACCTGTCTTATGTACTCTGTTTCTTAGATCTAGCCTTTACAGTGATTCTGTTAAAAATCTAAGCTACCTCTCTACTTAGAATTTTAGGTGAGCTTTAGTTTTTTTTAGTTCTTTAGATTTCTATATCTGGTGATCTTATCATAAGTTTGTACTAGCACTAGTATTGGCTTATATTCTTTTAAGTTTTGTGTAATATTATACAAATGCTTGAGCTCACAATCTTGCTGATGTGATCAAAGCTACAGGTGTTCTAACTTAACTAATTAATAACCATATATCATAACACAACCTATAAATTTGAATTTTTTGCTCCTAGAGAAAATTGAACTCTGAACCTTTTGCCTTGAAGTGACAACCTACTTTTGTGTAGAATGGCCAACTTGCCAACTATACTACTTTGCCACATTTCTAATTTTTTAAATATAAAAATTGATTTAATATAAAATAAAAGATACTATATTCTGGGCTTTCTCTTTCCCCTCTATAACTAATGGTAGCTAGTTTTAAATTAGTTTATGAATAGAAAATTAAGAGGTGTTTTGCTGCACTTAGGTGGTTATACAAGATATAATAGATAGTTTAAAATTAATATCATCTTGATACAAATCTGTAACTAATCTTATCATGTATACAGCAAATTCAAAAAAAAAAAAAAAAAAAAAAGATACTATATTTTTGTTATTCATATAAAGTTCTTTTTTAATAATAAAGAAAATAAATCTAATTATATTAATATTCAATTTGTAAAAACCAAAATTCAATATAAAAAAACTATTACTAAAAACTAAAAACCAGTATAAGTCTAAAATTCAATTTAATGTTTTCATCTTCTGAAAAGTCTTGTTATATATATCACAAATCAAATTTTTCAGAAACATTGTATTCAAAACTGCATTTATGATATCTCTACTAATAGAAACTGGAAACCAGTATAAGTCTGAAGCTCAATTTAATATTTTTAACCCCTGAAAAGTCTTGTTATATATGTCGTAGATCAAATTTTTCAGGGGCATTACATCCAGAAAATACCAAGATTGCATTTTTGATATTTCTACTATAAATATATTAAAAACGTAATTTCAGTCATCAAAGGGCATAGAAGTATGAGTCTGGTGTTTCGCTCCAGACAATGAGTCTGGCGTTTCACTCCAGACAATGAGTCTGGAGTTTCGCTCCAGACAATAATCTGGCGTTTCGCTCCAGACAATAAATATATTAAAAATGTAATTTCGGCCATCGAAGGGTGTAGAAGCGCTTCGCTCCAGACAACTAACAATTCTAAAAAACAAAAATTAGAAATACATAGTGATTTAAAAAACATTCCAGGTTTGCAGCACTTTGACTCGATCATAGTAACAGATAAAGATGACAAAGAACCCATTATGGTGGTCTTTACAAAAATGGTATTTTCCAATTTTAAAGTAAGTACGCAAGTGAACGCTTATTTTTGGATGCAGAAAATGCTACAAAACCAAAGCTATTTGGCATAGTGATATTTCTAAATCATCATATGAAATTAACAAATTACATGTAAATTGTATACTAAATAATTTAATAGCACAATTGATAGATTTAATATCACTAAATTTTTTTATACAGTATGTAATTAATATATTTTTGAGATTTTAAAAAATTCGGTCAAAATTTTTCACCAATGCTCGAAACAGCAGAGGTCTTTTTCGATTTTTAAACAGACCGGGCCTGCATAAGGAGAGCCTCTTCCTGCGTTGCGAATACAAAGTAAAAATTTTCCAATTATATAAGATAATTGGAAATTTTACATTGTATTCGCAACGCAGGAAGAAAGCTCTCCTTATGCATACCCGGGTTACACTCGACATAGGACAGCTGTTAAAAATCGAAAATCGAAACTCATCGGTTCCTCTCTAATTATAGTTGGGATATTAAGTAATTGAATAGACCTTTAATCAAATATTATTCATATTAGAGTGTCCAGGGGTGAATATAGCTATTGTGATCAAATTAGAATTTCTTTTTGTTGTACCGTATTCCTCCGAAAATAAGCACTCCCGAAATTAAGCACCCCACAATTCACGAAAATAAGCACCTCTTATATAATAGAAATAAGCAACAAAATATCAAGTCATTCAAATTATTAGATGAGATTATACCCGAAAATAAGCAACCTTATAGCAAAAAAGGGGTGCTTATTTTCGGAGGAATACGGTAATATTGTTTTTTAAAGTATTATTTATACGTCACCGCAGAATTTTTAATTCAAATCAATTTATGACTAATAATTATTTTTTACGCATATTCAAATTCTTTGATCTGTTCTATTTATATTGTATAAAATCAGAACAATGGTATAGTTATTAGAAAAAAATACTCGAAATTTCAAAATTAGTTTGCATATACCTAACGCTAACGTCGTTGCATCTATAATACGTAGTACGTACGTACGTAGAGAATTTATTTTTTACTTAATAAGGTAAGTAATGTCATTAAAAGAACTTTGTAAAAAGGTTTATTTATTATTTTTAACGAAATATTATTTATTCCCAATTTTTCCACGGAAAACTACTACTTCAATTAAAGTCTCTTATTTCAAGAAATCGTATGAATGATAAGAAATTCCTCGGATCATATTCGAAAAATTTTCGTAGCAAATTATTTTGTAATGTTACTCGACAAAAAACTTTATTCATTGTTCAATTACCCGCTTTAGAAATGAATGTCAATGAATAGCGATAGTGTTCATAGGTTATTATCGATTTCTAACAGCATGCTACTCATCATCATTCATTGAAATTACTAATAATTACTTGGATGATAAAGCACGTCTCAATTTTTATTGGGGCTATCAGATTTGAAACGGGACGGACGGAAATCGATATCTATTTTTCTCTTGGCAACTATCAAAAATCTTTGCAAAATACAAAATAAATCCAAGTTAAAAAAAACATCTCAAACAATCTCGAAAGACGCAACGTAATTCTTAAAATAGAATAATTAAGACCTATCTAATAATTTAGAATCTAAAATAACGCTATCTAGATACTAGAGATAAGGCAAACTATTGCCATGTCAAGGATAAAAAGATAATCTTACATGTGATATTATTATAATTGTGCTACGAGTTCACGAAACACAATAAAACAATATATAAATACTAACTTTTGTGATTTTTCTTTTTTTTTATTTCTAAAACAATAAAAGTAACAACAATAAAATAATAATAACAATAGCACTATAATTACTGCACAAAACAGAAGGATGTTTCTATGTAAAAAGATTATCTCTAAAAAAAAAGAAAAAAAAAATACAAAAACAATTCATACATTCATTAAATCTTAAGAATAAATGATAATCATAAGAAAATTTTCATTATCAATTTTATTAATATGCCCATGGATAAGAAAATAATAAAAATGGATCAATTTCAGGAAGACCATAATCTAACATTTGAGGTGATTGTGGAACATAAAGAGCTTTTTGCTTAGGCGACAGTAAAGTTTCTTGCTGAAATTTGGATAAATTGTCGAAAGATTGTTTTTTATCGTCAGTTATGGATCTAATGGTGGTCGGTGTGGCCACAGTTAAGTCATGAGATTTTTTAGAGTTTTTATCTTTGTTAATCGATTTCTTCAAACAAAACTCACGAAACTTCAATCCTTTTTGCTTCTTGCTTTTATCGGGTTGAAATTTATAATCCGGATGCATCAATAAATGATTCTTCTTGGCCATCAAAGATAAAATTTCAAAGAATCTTTTCACCGATTTAGACTCTTGGGCCCAGATTTTGGCTACTTTCACAGAAGTTTTGGTTGTACGTACAGCCAAATGCATTGACTTCATTTTTGCAGCGTAATTTTTACGATATATCATAAAGGGATTAGAAGGGCGAGGGATTTTATCATTAGAAGAGCCGTATTTAGATTTATTATTTTTCATAGATGGTGCTTTTGTCAATTCTTCTACCGTGAGTGTCAGTTGGTATGGTGGGTGAGATAGCAAAGAATTGATCTCGGAAGAGTTCAGTACTTCGTTAATGTATATCAAGTCTTGTTGTGTATCAACCATATTTTAAGAAAAAAAAGAAACTGAAGAATTTGAGTTTTGTGAAAGTGAAAGAAGCTATCAGTTCATTAAATTGGTAGGGAAATTTCTTGGAATTTCCGTGACTCATTTATACCGATACGCATTTATAACCTATAGCTTTGATGTTACTTGGGCATAATAGCGTCGTAGATTTAGTATACGCAATCATTTCCACAATTGTCTAATTATTTGATGTAGACTTGTATTTGCTACAAAAATAAAAAAAAATCCATGATTATTAGAGTTCAACGGAGACGAAGAACACTTTACCATCTCTGTTCAAGCTCATAAGAGTTTTTTTTTTTATTGATAATTGCATGAATTAATTCAAAATTTAAAAATAAAGGTTTGCTTTATTACTTCATTCTTATATTAGTATCTTATTTTGTCATTCGTGTCCATGACCGACAAATGAGAGTTTATACCACTAAACTTAGTCATTGTCCCCAAATTTGGTCTAAAAAATTATATTGTTAAAAGGACGAGCCGTTTGAATGAAGTACGTAATTTGTATTTGGGTATCTTGATTTATATTATTATTATAAATAAGGCCAGCTAAATAGTTCTTGAGATCGGACAAAAGATTGGGAGACTCCGACAGTTGTCACGTGATTGTCACGTGGTAACATAAAAATAAGATTACTAATCACTGAATCATTGAAGTTTGTTACGTAGCAACAACTTGCCATATCGATATTGTACGATTTTCCATTAACGTTAATCAGAAATGAACAATCCAACTTTGTTATCGATTTTCAGAATGAATTAATAAACACTAGACGAGTTATAACTACGTAATTAAAAATAAGATAACAGAGAACTTCAATTTACATATAAAAAAGTATATAAGATTAATTTAAAACATAATGTCATGGAGAATCACGCTTTTTCATTTTGAAATTTATCACCTGTATTTTTCTATTGTAAATCATCTACGTAATTTGGATGCTCGTGGTTTTCACCGCATATATGATGTGCGCCTAGAAGCCGCGTTTTCATTCGGATCGACTTTTACAGAACTTTTATAGAATGTATATATGAAAATTATGCATCAAAACATACGTATTCAATTAAAAGTATATATTTATGGATTATGACTACCTAAGATTAGCACCCTGGCAGAACTTTATCGGACTTTTGCAATATTTGAAATGCAAAGCTTCTCATTGAACCGTTCCTTGCATACTATTTAATCTTTTAACCGGTTTGTTTGCATACGTATTGTTGTATGGTTCTCAAAATAGTATTTTAGCAGCAAAAGTCTTTGCGGCTAACATCGCATATCATATCGTACCAACCTTATGACAATATTAAAGCTTTGCAGATAATAATCTTACGTTATATATTGTTTTAATTTGTTATCCTTAGTTACATTAAAATGTTGAGTTTGGTAAGACTTTCTTCCCATACCAATAAAATTTCACCTTTTTATTTAGGTATGACTTGAGTATGGGATAAAAACAATATTTACCTAAATGTACGTTCATACACAATTTATAAACTCTTCGTTTTTATAAGAATACGTTATTAGTTCTTCTCCTCGTAACTGTGTCCTTTCTTTTTCTCTCCTTTTTCATTCTTTACATCTTTTCCAACTACCCCCAATTTTAAATTTTGCAAAACGAAGAAAAAATATGTCTTCTAATAAATCAATAGACAATTTCAAAGACTTTCCACCGATTCAAAAAGCAATAAAATTATCTACTTCTTTAGTTTGTGATCAGAATTCTCGTCAAGTTCAAGAATGCCTTGACCAACTTAAACGTGCAATATATAGTCAAATAATGGAACCTTCTCGTGATGAAAAACCTCATCATTGGTCAACTCTTTGGGCACATATGAAATTTTGTATGAACGATCTTAAATATTGGGAAGTGGGAGCCGGACACCCTGCTGATAGATTATCAGATTCTTATATTCGGTTAGCGTTATTGCGTCTGTTTTTTGAAGTAGGTGGGCTTTCGAAAAAAAAGCAGATAGAAGGAATAATTGCTGATATTTTGGAAATACAGGCAACTATTGAAAGAGTAAAAGATAGAACTAAGGAACATTAATAATATAGTGATGGTTTTTTTCTTTTTGAGGCATCTAATAACAAAAAATTGTATTATTATGATTATTTGCCGTTAGTATATACATTTAACCTTATCAAGAACATTTTTATATTTATCATTTTTAAAACTGTATAAATTATATAATTAGAAATTAAAAAATTCAAAAAAGATAAACACATTAAGCTTCATTTTCATATTAGCATTATTATTATTAGCAAAATTTTATTTTTAACCTTAACATTATGCTTTTTGGCAAAAATTTTAACTTGCATTATATGCAAAATTTTACAAAAAAAATTGAGCTTTTTTTAATAAAGTTTTTGGTCGACAAAATTTTTGGCGTTTATACTGTTTAGATTTTTTATTTAACATTTAAATTAATTGTATATATGTGAGAATGAAATTTAAGTGAATATGAAATTTCGAGATGTTAGAATTAGTGTATGGGTTTATATACTGTATAACAAACTCTTCTAAAATGTTCATTTAAATCTCGTTTCTACTTACAACATATATAGTATTAATATACAGTATTACTTAAATCCTAATATAGCAAATCAAATTGTTTATATACTAAAAACTATATAATATTTAAGATTGTTATTTAAATTTAATTAATAAGCTTACTGTATATAATTTTTATTTGTTATTTAAAATAAGATCTTATTTCAAAACTAACCAATAAATTTGCAGATTATAATTTTTGATTATTTTTCATAAGCAATATAGTTAGTATTTATTAAATTTAGATTAATTTAATACTATCTTATATAATAATTTAATATTCTTGTACGTATAATCTATTAAACTTTTTTACTAAAATTTTTTTTAAATTACTAAATAATATTTGTGCATTATAGTAAAATGTGTTTTATAATAGTATTTGTTAATTTATATCTTTTTATTTTATTTTATTTTTTATTTTATTATTATTATTTTTATTTTTTATTTAGAATCCATGGATTAATAGCATAGTAGTTAGTGCTTCTAGGTTACAATTACAAGGTTATGAGTTTAAGTAGCCGTTCTATAAAATAGGTGGGCAAACTTTGCAAACTCTGCAAACTCCACAACTCCGCCATTAAAGAATTAATAATTACTAATTATTAGCAAAGCTTATTTCTTATATTGCTTATCTATTTTATAGAATATCCAACTCTAATCCTAATAATTTATAAAATTACTTAAATTAGTTCAAAATAGTTAATTTATATATATTATAATTATATAATAATATATAGTTATTAGATGTAAAGCAGCCAATAATAGATATTATTTGTAAAATAATTTTATTATCTAGCTATAAAATTTAATATGTCAGTTTCTGAGCTCCAAAAAGTTCAAAAATGATATATATTAAATTTGCTGCTAAATAAACAAGCTATTGGCTAAGTAGTATTTAATAATAGTATTATCTGGTATTTTATAATAACTAAACAAACAGAATAACTCGAGTTCTTTAGATGATAATTGTATCATTATCAAATAATTTCGTTATTTGATAATGATGCAATCATAATTAAAATAACTTGAATTATTCTGTTGATATAATATAGTAAGTGTCAGATAATTATATATACTTATCTATATTAAAAATCAATCAACTATTTAAATAAATAATTAAAAATTAAATATATAACTAAAAAATATATATATTTTTTTATCTCCTTTTGCATTTTAAAAGTATTTAAATATCTTCAGATCCTTTATATCTTTTAAAGGTCAGAGTCTTCATTTCTATAAAAATTACTAGTATGATAATTTGGTCTTTATATATTACTATACTAATGAAATAACTTATACTTTATTAAATATATTATATAAGGATAAATATTCTTGTTACATCCCATTACATTTGATTTTGTCACAGATCACATGAAATATTAATAATATACGGTTACGTAATAGGTTCAGTTCTTATTGCCCTAATTTTATTTTATATTACTTAGACAAATCTTATTAGTCATTATATTCGAGCCTCCAATTAAAAAACATATTGCCAGCAAAAGAGCAGGTTATGCTACCTGGAAATTTTGTACACTAGTTCAGTATTTAGTAAAAACATAAGCAAAAAAACTTAAATCTGGCTGTTTTCACTAGAGCTCTGCAAGTATTGGCATGTGTATTATTAAACATAGTGCTCATACCCATGCTTGGCACTATTTTTAATAGGATATATGCCGGTACTTGCAAAGTTTTAGTTTTTATCCTCATGATCTACATAGTGAATAGCACAGGTTTTACTCTGTCGTATTACAAAAATTTCAACCTCTAAAATATACATTACAATATTGTCTCTTAAATTGTCCTTTAAATTGATTATTGTTATTGTGTTTAACTATTCTCATAATTAGCTGTAACCAAATCAAGTTTCTCTTTTTACATACTATATAGCAAGACATAGTCAAAAACTTCTTGCAAAAAACATGTTATTTGTATATTTAATATTATCCCTTAAACTGTATTCCAGGCAAATTTGCCTGGAAAATTTAATTGTATTTAATATTTTTTAAATAAAATAATAATTTATTAATGATATGGGGTA